TCCTTAACCAATAATTCTAAGTCAAACAGTATGTGCCCTGTTCCACACTTCTTTACTGAAAGGTATGAGGCTTGTTTTACCATCAGCTTTCTGAAATCACATCTGATCACTGAATTCATCAGAGTTCTGAGTCAATGTGGTTTTTTTCATTTTTGCGTTCACTGGGTAAATTGTTTTCCTGGTTCTTCTCCTTTCACTTTGTATCAATTCAGACAAGTATGCCCAGCTTTCACTGAATTCTTCAGTGTGTTCTCACACCAGTGGTTGAGGAAGCTTGTGAAGATGTGGCCTGAGAGAAAAGTAAAGTATCACTGGAGGCCACCTAGATGTAGTGGGCCTGGTGAGGTACTCTCCAATTAGGAAAGTAAGGAAATGGAGTTGGACAGGACCTTAAAGACCATCTTATCTTAAAGAAGAGGAAACTGGGACCCAGTGAGGACTATTTGACTTGACCAAGGTCATTGAGACAGTAAGCATTGGAAAGATATGAATCTAGGTACTCTGACTCCACCATCCTTGGCTTTCTTCCCTTTCTATGATGTTTCCCCCAGTGGTCTAATCTGCTCTCTCAATTCCAATTAAGCTTCTAAATGAATGGTGTTCCAGCTCTGACCTTTCTCCTGGGCACAGAGCTACAATTTCCAACTGCCTGCTGGGTATCATCTCCACTAGAAAGTCCAGTGGCATCTCAGCCTTGAAGCTGAATTAGCCCTCCTCCCCTTCTGCCAAAACCGGTTCCCCTTTTGGACATCTCTCTTGCTGTTAGTGGCACTGCCATTTTCTCAGTCATCCGGGCTCTGAAATCTTGGAGGAATTCTTGACTCCTCTTTCCCTATCAGTCTCTAAGTCCTCACCAATCTTTCCCATCTTTTCAATCCCTGCTGCCCCCAGCCTAGTTCAGACCTTCATTATATCTTGCCTGGACTAGAATGATAGCCTCCTAATTGTTATTACAGTAGCTTTCCCTACTCAATTGTAATTGATCTTCTAATCGATCTCTCCACTTCTAGACCCTCTAATCTTATCATTTTACTTACTAATACCAGATTAATCTTCCTAAAGCACATACCTGGCACATAATAAGCATTTAATAAATGCTTTATCTATCTATCTTCAGTCACCTGAAGCACAGCTCTGGTGCTGACATTCCTCTACTGAAAAACCTTCAATGGTTCACTGTCACCTACTCATTACAGGCCAAACAACTTGGTCTGGAATTCTAGGCTTCTCATGATCTGACCCCTCACTGCTCCTTACTCTTTACCCACAGCTTCTATTTACATAATCTCCACTCCAGCCAAACCTGACTTTTTAAGGTTCCTGGGATACTGTCTAATTCCCATTTCCACACCTTTGGTCACACTGTGCTCTCATCCAGGATTACCTGCTTCACACTTCTAACAAAATCCTTCCCATCTGTCTTAGGAAGACATAAACATGCTAGGACACATCTACAATATAGTGACCAGGCTGGAGAAAGATCTAGTGAACAGGCTACATGAATTGCTTGTAGGATTTAGGAGTGTTTTACCTTACTAATTGTGTGACTTTGCCCAAGTAGCTTAATCTCTGTGGGCCTCAGTTTCCTTATCTACAAAATGATAGGGTTGGGCTACATGTCCTTTGGGGTCCCTTTCAGCTCTAGAGCCATGAGGTTATGATTGGAAGAGCTATCATGGAGAAGAAAGGTTGGACTTGTCCTACTTGGTCTAGGCAAGAGTTGCACAGACCGATTCAGGCTAAACTATTAGAGCTCTCCAAAACAGAAGGCAGCCTTAGGGGGCCTGGGCCCTCCTCCCTCCATCTGTCACTGGAGATCCTCAAGCACAGACTCAGTGACACCTTGTCAGGAATGTTGCAGAGGGGTTCCTCTTCAGGTATAGATTGGAATACAGAAAGGTAGAAAGAAAAAAGAAAGGAATAAAGAAAGAAAGAAGGCAGACAAGATGATAGATAGATAGATAGATAGATAGATAGATAGATAGATAGATAGATAGATAGAAATATGAGATAGGCAAGAGAGAGAGAGAGATCAAGCATTTATTGAGTGCTTACTACGTATGTATCAGGCATTGTGCTAAGCATTGAGATGCAACTATAAGCAAGTAAGATGGTCTCTGCCCTCAAGGAGCTTACATTCTAATGGAAGAAGACAACACATAAATGGGAACTGGGAAGGGTGTGGGGCAGCGTGGTTCAGCACTAGTAACCAGGAAATAAGATGAAAGCTTGGTTCTGGGTAAGACACAGGGAAAACTCACCTGTCAGAGTCCAGGGTGGTTGAATCCAAGGTTCCTTTGGAGCAGAGGCCAGAAGGGAGGGGGCATGGTTAGGAGTTGGTGGCTGGGAAGGACTAGATGGTTTCTGTGGTCAGTTTGGCTGGAGTGGAGGGCATTCAAAGGAGAGCAATGAGGAAGGCCAGAGAGGTAGGTGGGGTTAGATGCAGCCCTGATATTCTGTGGTGCTCACCCCATTTGTCACAGTAAATGTTGCTGACTCATTAATATAGGCCACATTACCTATATGGGCATGGGCTGGGGAGGGGGAACCATGGCTGCTGGCTCTTCCTTAGGAGCCAAGGGGAGCTAAACACTCCATATAGGGTGTTCACCCAAAGAAAGTAGACAAACGACAAACAGTTATGAAAGACTCATCAAATCCGAGATGGCGACCCACCAAGTACAGCCAGACAGGGAGCAAAGCTGAGCTTTGCTGAGGAAGTTTAGTCCTGGTAAGTTTGCTGGCCAGTTTAGGGGTCAACAGAGGAGACATTGGTGCTATCATTATCCCCATTTTGCAGTTGAGGAAACTGAGGCTGAGAGGTTGTGACTTGCCCAGGATTACACATGTTGTCTCCCTGGTAGAATGAAAACTCCTAGAAGGCAGGCACTGTTCCCTTTTTGTCTTTGTATCTCAAATACCTGGGGCATAGTAGGTGCTTAATAATTTACTGAATTAAATCTTGTCTTTATGAAGGCTAGCCGGTGCTGTAAGAGTCACATTCCTGTCCCTGCATTCAGTGCCCACCCTCTCCAGCCTCCGCTACCCCTTGCATTGGGAGAAACCAGCCAAGTGATAGAACTCCCCTCCAAAGCCAAATTCCCTTTCTGATCCCCACCACGCTAATCTCTTGGTTTGCAAAGCCCTTTACGATCCTGTTGGATCCTCACAGCCACCCTGGCAGGTGGGCATTCTTATTACCACCTTTTTACAAATGAGGAAATGGATGCTGAAGGCTATTAAGTGACCGGCCCAGGATCCTGTCTGAGGCAGGATGTGAATGAAGGTCTTCCTGATTCCAAGTCCAGCTTTTTATCCTCTGTCCAGCATAGTATACACATAGTGAGCCAGGTTAAACCAGAGATAGAAGGCTAGCTTACCTATTGGCTCCCCCATGCCCTAAAATAACACTGTCTTAAAAGGGGATAGTCCGCCCCTTGATGTGTCCTAAGGCAGCCAGGTGGTACAGTGGATAAAGAACCAAGAACTTCCTGAAATCAGGAAGACCTGAGTTCAAATCCAGCCTTAGATAATTACCGGCTGTGTGACCCTGGGCAAGGTACCTAACCTGTGTTTGCCTCAGTTTCCTCATCTGTAAAATGGAGATAGTAATAGCATCTACCTCCCAGGATTGTTGTGGGGCTCAAATGAAATAATAATTGTAAAGCACTTGACACATAGTAAGAACTATATAAATGTTACCTTTTATGAGTCTTTTTATTAGACGAAGAACTGAGACCAGAGAGAAGCTAAGTCACCAAGAAACCAACTTAAGTCTCTTGGCTCACCACTGAGGAGTCTAGCTGCAGAAATACCCTATCTCTTCCTCTAGACCAGTGGTTCTTAGCCTAAGGTCCATAGAAAGTTTTCAGAGGATCTGTTCATTTGAATGAGAAAAAAAATTATATCCTTATTTCAATATAGTTTTTAGCTTTGAATTGCACTAAAATTTTTGGGACACCTTGTATAATTAATTTCCTTTGTAATTCTATGTATTTTATTTCTTGCATTTAAAAACTTCATTCTGAGAAGGGCTACATAGGCTTTACCAGACTGACAAAGGGGTCTATGATGTTTTAAAAAAAAAAAAGTTAAGAATCCCTGCTTTAGACTACCCTGCCTGTAAGATTTTTGCTTGAGAGTTCAGAATTTGGTGGGTCCTTAGGTCCCCTCCCCATTCCTCATCTTCCACCTCCCCTGGCCTCTATCCAGTGCCCAGTGAGGACAAAGGCTGGTGGGATTTCATCCCAAGCATCCGGATGCCTGGTCACGATGGCCAATAAATCATAGCTGCCGGTACCACTCACACTACTATGTAATTAACGTGCCTTAGCCAGGTCCACTGGTGGGTGGGGGCCCACATTCCCCCCTTGTCCTGATGGTTTCCTACACACACACATGCCTCTTCTAGAATGGGGAGGTACAGTTAGTGGGGGGACATCCCCCTAGGGCACCAAGAAACAGGGGAGCTTGGCAAGCCCTCTGATTTATTGCCCCCTGTTGAGGGAAGATTTATGAGCTGACGGAGAGCCCAGAATGTGTTGTGAGATGCTAGGAAAGCTGTCTCCCTGACTTATAATGAGAAAGCCCTCATTATCTGTTTCCATGAACAAATGCTGTTCCTCCTCCCATGTTCCTATGTCCCTCCTCCTTTAACATCCCTCCAGAATCAGTACCAACCCTACCCAGAATGGTGAGGGCCTCAAATCCCCTCACACCCAGCTACCCTTTTCTAATTAGGGAAGACTGAGCTGGCAGGGGTCTTCAAGATCATGTCTACCCTTCCCTTTTTTTTTTTTAAACAAAAGAGGCCCAGAGAGGTTAAGCAGCAGCAGCATTGATAGCCAGCATTTATGTAGCACTTTAAGGTTTGCCAAGCACTTGACATATATATATCCTGTGATCCTCATAACAACCCCAGAAGGTAGGTGTTATTTTTATCCTCATTTTACAAATAGGAAAACTGAGGTAGAGGTTAAGTGACTTGCCCAGGGTCACACAGTTCAGCAAATGTTTGAGGGCAGATTTGAACTCAGATCTTCCTGTCTCCAAGTCCAGGACTCTATCCACTGAGTCTCCTAGCTGCCAAGATCCTATGGATAGTAAGCAGCAGAGTTGGCATTTGGACCTGGGTCCTCTGTGTTCAGATCCAGTAGTCTTTAGAAATGCAGTAAACTCTTGTTAAGGTGCTGCTTTTCCTGGTGGCTGGATTTCCTTGGGATCAGAAGGAGAATAGAACTTGTGAATGGGGGCCAAGATAGAGAAGAGCCCCTGGGTGCCTGGTTGGGGTGGTTATGTTCATTTATCTGTCCCATGAGCAGGAAGTCTGTACTGTTGGCCTTCCTTCACCTTTCCGAGGGCTCTGTGAAAGGTTAGTGGTGAGAAAGATGTTAGCCCCCATAGGGATCTTCCCCCAATCAATCCATCCCTCAATAAGCATTTATTAAGTCCCTACTGTGTCCCTCAGCCAGGCCTATTATCATCTGGTCTCTGGGCATGGGAAGAGGTCCCTCCTGCCTGACCAGCCTATAAACATTTCAAACCCTTTTGCAAGTATTTTACCCGAGACCAATCCTTGCTGACAGATTAATAATTGGTTAGGACTTAGGGCCGTGGGAACGTGTTCTCACTGGTGGGATGTTTATAATGAGTCTGTGTCGAGCTGACTGCCTAAAACCATGAATGCTTAAAGACTACTGTAGTCAACCTTCAAGGCTCTGCTCAGGGGCTGCCTCCTGCGTGAAGCCTTTCCTGATTCCCCCAGTTAATGGTCCCCCACACACACTCCAGAAGTCACTTTGATCAGAGGATCACAGGTCTATGGGACTGTATAGATCAGGGCGGGGGGGGGGGGGAGCCTCAGAGGTCATCTGATCCAACCCTACATTTCTACATATGAGGAAACTGAGTCCAAGGAGGTAAAAGGACTTGTCCAAAGTCCCGCAGGTAGTGAGTGTCAGATGTGGGACATGTTCCTAAGCCCTCTGGCTCCAGAACAGGGCTGTGCCCACAACTATTCTGCCTCTATGCCTCACTTCCATTTGCTGTTATGAGCATCGGGATCAGGGGAAAAGTATAACGTTCTCATTATTGACTTTCTGAGTTGGAGTCAGAGATGCCTTCTATCTACATATCTATTCTATCTCTCTCTACCCAAGAATCTGACCCCTGGTATAACTGCATCTGTCACATAATGAGGTGCTTTAAAATGGGGTTTTACCACAGATCAATTTTGTTGTTCAGTCGTGTCTGACTCTTTGCGACCCCATTTGGGGTTTTCTTGGCAAAGATAATGGAGAGGTTGGCCATTTCCTTCTCCAGTTCATTCTACAGATGAGGAACTGAGGCAAACAGGGTTAAATGACTTGCCCATGATCACACAGCTAACAAGTATGTGAGGCCGGATTTGAACTCAAGAATAGGCGTCTTCCTGACTCCAGGCCTGGCACTGTATCCGCTGTGCCACCTACATTTCTATGTGGGTGAAGAATATGATTGTTGGTATAGTATCACAGATTAAGTCAAGTAACTTTCCTATGGTCACTCAGGAACTATATAATAGGGTTGAGATTTGAACTTGTCCCCAGACTTCAGGTCCAGGGATTTTTCCACTAGGCCACAGGGATTCCGTATTGCATAGTAAACTTAAGCAGCCTAAGGAACTCTTTTCTCTCTTACCTCTATTTATCTCAAATTTATTTAATCTGTTTATATGTTGCATCCCACAGTAGAATATAAGCTCTTTCAGGCAAGAATTGTTCTTCTGTTTGTATATGCCCTCTGCCCATCATGATGCCTTTCATATGATTGGCATTCATAGAAGCAGAAGGAACCCTAAAAATGTGGGTTTCATCTAAGTTGGGGTCATGGGGGGGCAAGTCTATCCCCCAAATTATACACCTTTGACACATTTCACCCCCATCCAGAGTTCCCTTTGGGAAATCTCAGAATATAGCTTGCACATGGCAAGCACGCACACATGCATGCATGCCTGCATGCGCACACACACACATATCCCAACAGATGGGTAAAAAGGTCTCCAGCTCCCACATAGATACTCAATGTAACTATATATACCTACATGGATACAGGTATAAATATAGTTAAATCTCTCTCTCTCTTCCCCCTCTTCTTCTCTCTTCCTTCTTTCCCTTTCTTCTCCTCCCTCCTCTCTCAGATACACTATTTTACCCCATAGAAAATACAAAAAAAGCTCATAAAAGAGCCCATAAAAATTGATATATGTAATTGTCCCTGTCTGGCGAGCCCTTCCTTATCCCCGGGCTCTGTACTGTCCCCCTGCCTCATAGCACCATCCTGTCCTTTGGACTCCCCTTTGATGAGAAATAAACCCAGAAGAGAATCGGAAGACTAGAGGCAACTCCTTTCCAGTTCCAAATCTATGGTCTGATAATCTGGTATTGTGTCCCTCCAACCACCCTGTAACTTCCTTGAGAGCTGGGACAATCTCTTATTTATCCTACATCTCCATCCCCCTTCACTCCCTCATTGTGCCTAGCACGGGGTTCTCTGCAGAGGAAAGCCTCACCCTTGTGCCTGTTTCTGCTGAGCCTCACCTTTATATTTCTGATCTCCCTTCTAGGTCCTCCTGGTCTATCCACACCTCTGGGGTGAAATGTGGAGGACAGGAAAACAGGCTGGCACTGTTTCCACCCTAAGGGATGCCTACCATGAATGGGGATGCTGATCTTTCCTCCTTTCTTCCTCCTTCCTTCCCTCCTTCTCTCTCTCCTCTTCCTTCATTTCTTCCTTCCTTTTGCTCCTACTACCCTCTCCTTTCATCTTCTTACTCCCTAGTCCTCCACATAATTTAACCTGTCCCTTGATTAACTCATTCTTTCCTTAATGGCACCCAACTTTCCCTCTCAATTTTCTGTAGCCTGAGCCTACCAACACTATCCCGTTTGACCCTTCTAGACCCATAGCCCTCTCCATGTCCCCAGAGTGGTCAGAGCCTTCTAGACTCTAAACCATTTAATATCTGGCTAACCGCTTTTAGTTAGAAGCTGAGGGTGTAGTGGATTTGGAGGCGAAGGGAACTTTAGAGATCATTTGACTCAACCCCCTATTTTTATGCGTGAGGAGACCAATGCTCAGGGAAGCTCCATCACGTTAATTTCCAGTGATTGCCCAAGGTCAGAGATGGAGTAAGTAGCAAAGACGGGATTCAAGCCCAAGTCCTCCAGTTCCCAAGCCAGAGCTCTTGTTACCACGGAAACTTATATCCTGTAATGAAATACTATTGTGCTATAAGAAATGATGAGCAGGTAGATTTCAGAAAACCTGGAAAAAGTTACATGAACTGATGCTGAGTGAAATGAGCAGAGTCAGAAGAACGTTGTGCACAGTGTCAGCAACATTGTGCAGTAACCAACTTTGATAGACTTAACTCTTCTCAACAATATAATAATCGAAGACAATTCCAAAAGACTCATGATGGAAGATGTTATCCACACCAAGAGAAAGAACTATGTAGTCTGAATGCTGATCGAAGCACACTATTTTCTTTTTTTTGTCTGTTTTTTCTTTCTTGTGGTTTCCCCCTTTTGTTCAGATTCTTCTTTCACAACATGACTAAAGTGGAAATATATGTAATATGATTGTACATGTATAGCCTATATCAGATAGTTTACTATCTTGGTGAGAGGAAAGGGAAGGAAGAAAAAAATTTGGAACTAAAAATCTTATAAAAGTGAATGTTGAAAACTTCTTTACATGGAATTGGAAAAAATAAAATACTATTAAGTGGGAGCAATGAGGGAGAGAAACTTGTATCCCAAGATTTGTATACCTATAGCATCACCAGAAACAATGATGATGGGTCTGCAAGCTTGTTTACAAAGAGAAGAGAAAATTCAACACTTCCTTCTTTGCAGATGTGGAGGATTATGGGTATGGCACATTGCATATACTTCCAGAATCAGTTAAGTGTTGACTAACTTTGCTAAATTTTTTTCCTTCCTTCCCTCCCTCCTCGGTTCCTTTCTCCCTTCCTGCAAGAGATGGCTGGAGAGCTATATCCTAAGATGAAGGTAACACTAAAAATAAAAGCTATCAGTAAAAAAGTTAAATTTTGAAAGATAGATTTTTGTGTCAGAGGGCAACTTGGCCCCATGGTAGAGCTTCTTTAAATAGGAAATGGCAAGCCACTCCAGTATCTTTGCCAAGAAAACCCCAAATGGGGTCATAAAGAGGCGGGCAGGACTTAAAAGTATTGAACAATGTTCCTTGACTTTGGAGGCAGCATGGAATGGTGAAAAGATGAGTATGGTAGAAAGTGGTGTGGTGGAAAGAGCACTAAACCTGAGTCATAGGTCCTGGGTTCAAATCTTACCTCTGATAATTACTACCTATGTCACTTTGGGCAAATCACTAGGGTTTCTTGGCCTCAAGTTTCCCCATTTGTAAAGTGAGGGGACTGGATTCAATGACCTTTGAATTCTCTTCCAGTTCTGGATTGATGGTCCTAGAATCCTATGACCTGTGCAACTTTGGACAAGTCACTTAGAGTTCTTTAGCCTCAGTTTCCCCATCTGTAAAGTTATGGAATTGGACTAGATGGCCTTGAAAATCTCTTTTGGTTCTAGATCTGTGTTCCTATGATCTTTGGTTCATTCTATCTTATCAGGGTCTCCTCCTTCTACTAGTGCCTTTGGGCCATCCCAACCATCTCTTCAAGAGCCCTGCCTGGATGGTCTAGGTAAGCATGACTATTGACAGGGAGAGCCCCTTGGGTCCAGGGCTCCACAGCCAACCCCTTTGCTAAGGGATTTCCGTGCCAGGAATTTCCTTTCACCCAAATACTTCTGCAGAATGATGGAATCTCCTCCCTCTTCCTTTTCTTATTCTTGGAGCCAACCCTTGGAAACAAACTTTCCCTTCCTTTCAGAAAGGGAGAAAAACATTGAAAGAGCTCTACGAACAACTAAGTTAGTGCATTGTCCTGGCGCCCTCTTCTGGGAATAACAAGGAAATACAAGAAAATGAGTTCTCTTAATGCCCGAGAGATAAAAGGGGTTTGTCCCCTGCACTGAAAATGTAAGGTTTAAAGAAAAGACTATTTTTCTTTTAAAATTGTATTTTTGTTGATATATGTTTTGATATTACATTAATTTACACACACACACACACACACACACACACACACACACACACACACACCCTTCCCCCTCTACTTACCCAGCAAACATTACCCATAACAAAGATTTTTAAAGGGGGGGGGGTGAAGTTTAGCAAAACCAGCATATCAGCCAAGTTCAACAATGTAGGCAGCATTACACACCCATAGTCTCCCATGTCCTCAGTGAAGGGAAGGAAGTGCACTTCTGTTTGTTATTCAAA